TTGCCGAAGGGCAGCCTGCAGACCGCTTTGTGTGGCCTATACTATGTTACATTTTCTTTTTAAATAAGCTGCCAGCATTTAAACACTGAGAGGTTTTACATTCAAAACCAAACCAACAAACCTGAAATTTTGGGCTCTCCTAAATATTTGGCATCTGCATTCCTGCCTGACCACAGTACCCTGGAGCCAGGCCCTTCCGTGTATGCACAGGGCTCCAGAGCCTTCCCGGCCCCCAGTGCATCTGGGGCTAGAGCTGGAGAGCGAGAGGCTGCTGGAGACCAGGGGGCTGCGGCCTTGCCTAGGCCATCAGCACCAGTCTGCAGGCAGCAGAAGACCATCCAGTGTCTGTGAGCATGGGGCTACCAGGTTTGCCTTCCAGAAGGGCATCTCTGGTGACAGCCTGGAGAATGGATTTGATGGGGTCATAAAGGAGGCCTTCTGCAATAGTCACAGGAGGGGTCATGGTAAGGTTGTGATAGCCGAATAATGGCCCTTCAGCAATAACAGATTCTAGGGACACCTGGGTGACTCAGTCGGTTAAGCGTCCGGCTTTGGCTCAGATCGTGACCTCACGGTTTGTGAGTTCAAGCCCCTCGTTGGGTTCTGCTGTCAGCACAGAGCTTGCTTCGGATCCTCTGTCCCCCTCTTTCTCTGCCCCTCCCCTGCTTGCATGCTCTGTCTCAAAATAAATGAATAAACTTAAAAAAAGATATCAGATGTGACCTTATAATGGCAAAAAAGGGCTTTATGGCCATGCTTAAGTTAAGGATTTTGAGATGGGGAGATTATCCAGGATTATCCAGGTGGGCCCCAAATGCCATCACATGTATCCTTATGAAAGGAAGGCAGGGGGAGATTTGACACACACAGAAGAGGAGGAGGCAATGAGACCATGGAAGCAAAGACAGGAGCGATGTGGCCACAAGCCAAGGAACGCCAATGACCACAGACACTGAAAGAGGCACGGGCCAGATTGTTCCCTAGAGCCTCTGGAAGGAGTGTAGGCCCGCTGACACCTTGATTTCAGCCCAGGGACACAGCTTTGTAACTTCTGACCTCCAGGACCATGGGAGAATGAATACCTTTCTGTTGCTTCAATCCGTCGAGCTCATGGTAATTTGTTAGAGCAGCCACAAGAAGCCATATGGACACCGTCAGACAGACCTGTGGGTGGAATCCACCAGACCAGGGGCTGAGCGGATGTGTCTTTTGGCGGAATTGGCAGCACCTAGGACATGTCCGGGTTGGGTCTTGCTGCGAGCCAGCCTGAGACTCAGCTGTGGGTGTAGGAGTGAGTCCAGGAAGCAGAGGGTGAGCACAGAGGAAGCAGAGCAGGGAAGGGAGAGACTCCCGTGCAGGTGCATGACTGGGCTGGAGACTGCGGTGGCCAGAGAAACCACACGGGGTACTCCCCAGAATTGTCCCTCAGAAGGACAGGAAGCTGAGGCGTTAATCCACTGGCTCCCTTTTCCCACTGGTTGGTGGTTGCCTGTATCAGTCAGATTCTCCAGAGAAACAGAACAAATACGATGGCTATATACATGTTTATTATATGAGATATAATATAAATAATTTTTATTATAAAAATATTTATTGTAAAGAGATATATATAAAGAGATTTATTGAGGTATATTATATGAGATATAATATAAATAATTTTTATTATAAAAATATTTA